GACCCTCTCTCTCTCTATGGAGCGGGAGAAAATTATAAAGAAAGCAACCATTTCAAGTCTGTGGAAATTTTCCTTAAGGCATACAGCAAATGGAGAAAAAAGTACTCAGCAGAATCTACTGAATTTCGTAAAGAACAGTGAGAGCCTGTGGCATTTGAACTACAGCCTTTGCCCCTCCTGCCCCTCCTCCCCAGCTTAGAGGGAAGAAGGCTCTATCTGGGCAGATGAAGCCAAGAACACAGGGATCCTTTTCCCTCTAGCTCCCAGACTAGGGCCATGGTATCTCTATAGGAGGGGCAGGCCACCAGCATTTCTCATCCCCCCCCACCTCAGCTCTGTGTTGCAAAAGCTTTATTCCATGCAAGAATGGCCATTTGTAGTGTATTAGTTCTACTGCAGTCACAGTAGGCCAAAAACCCAATTACCCTTGCCCAAGCTTGCTTTTAGGGCAGAAATTCCACGCTGGGATAGGCAAGCTGAGACAACCAGAAGTTACTACCCTGCCTAGTACCCTGCTTATAAAGCAGCGGTGTCACTTTAGAGATACTGGCCCCACCCTCCAGCTTGGGAACAATAGGACAGATTTTTCCCAGGATGAGAGGCAGATTATAAAAACAGAGAGCTATGAAGCTCTCCCAAGGGAACTGACTTTGTGTGAAACAGAATATGGGGAAGTTCATGTCTAAGGGTACTGTACAAAACAATGGACATTATGGCAGTAAGCTATTAATAGGAAGTTTGTAGTTCCACAACCAAACCATAGACTAGTTAGAAGTTTATCAGAAAGAAACAGGAAAATAGATAGCTAAGAAGAGCTCTCCTGGGGTTGGAACAAACTTCAAAGATAGACCTAAAGACTAACCCTGCAAAGAGGTCTGAATTTAATTGGATAAGACTGGAACAATTTATGACCCAGGGCGTGGTCAAAAACAATATGAGGGGTCTTCAAAAAGTTCATGGAAAATGTATCTTATGAAAAAACTATGCATGGATTGCAAAATTTTTGCACCAAAATATACTTGTACTAACTTGCTATAACATGTCTGAACAGGATCTAGTTTGAAGCACTCAGAAGGATAAAACATCAGATTGAAAAGAGCCCCTATCAGAGCAACATGAATTCTGCTAAAATTGAATCAAGAACAAACAAACAAATTGATGGTGAAGCTTGAGTGGAAGAATGGTGAAATTATTGATGCTTTGCAAAAAGTTTATGGGGACAATGCCGCAAAGAAATCAGTAGTTTACAAATAGATAAATTGTTTTAAGAAGGGACAAGACATTGTTGAAGATAAAGCCTGCAGCAGAAAACCATCCACATCAGTGTGTGTGGAAAAAATGAATCTTGTCTGTGCCTTAATTGAAGAGGACCAACAATTAACAACAGAAAGAAAAAACACCACCACAGACATCTCAATTGGTTCAGTTTACACAACTCTGACTGAACAATTATCGTTGAGCAAATTTTCTGCTCAGTGGGTGCCAAAACTTGCACTCAGATCGGCTACAGACAAAAGAGCTTTTAATGCAAATTTTAAACAAGTGGGATCAAGATTCTGAAGCACTTTTTTGAAAAATTGTAGCAGGAGATGGAACATGGCTTTACCAGTATGATCCTGAAGACAAAGCACACTAAAAGGCACTGCTACCAAGAGGTGGGAGTGGTCCAGTCAAAGCAAAAGCAGAGAGCAAACGTCATGGCAACAGTTTTTTAGTATGATCAAAGCATTTTGCTTATGGACTTTCTGGAGGGCCAAAGAACAATAATATCTGCTTGTTATGAGAGTGTATGGAGAAAGTTAGCTAAAGCTTTCACAGAAAAATGCCCAGGAAAGCTTCAACAGAGAGTCTCTCTCCATCATGACAATGGTCCTGTTCATTCCTGTCATTAAACAAGGGTAATTTTGCAAGAGTTTCTATGGGAAATGATTAAGCATCCACGTCACATCCTGCTTTGGCTCCTGACTTTTCTTTCCTAATCTTAAAAAATCATTAAAGGGCACCCATTTTTCTTTAGTTAATAATAAAAGGGGGCTGGTCAGTTTTCTTGGTTAGAGCATGATGTGAAAACACCAAGGTCCATGGTTTGATCCCTGTACCTGCCAGCTGCCAAAAAACAAAATGAACAAACAAAAAACAGTAATGTTAGACTGCATTGCTGCATTGATATGGTTAAATTTCCAGGATCCTTAGTTTTTTAGGGATGAACTAAATGGTAGGTATCATTGCTTACAAAAGTGTCTTGATCTTGAAGGAGCTTAGGTTGAGAAATAAAGTCTATATTTTTAAATTTTATCTTTTAATTCCATTTTTCCATGTTTGAAGTCCCCTTATAGAGCAATCAGCCAGCAATTAGTGGAGGCTAGCAGCTAGGTATGGTAACAACACAGATAGGTATCTTAACACAGACAGTCAAAGAGAGCCCTGATAAAACCACTATCGTGAACATGCTCAAGGCTGTGTCCTCTGAGGAATGACATCGAAGGCTACGCACTGTGGGGGAAAGAGAAATTGCAAAAATAGTCTAGTTATTTAAACAAATAAGCAAACAACAAGAAGCATGGTGGAAGGGTGTAAATTAGTATCCGGAGTTGGCTACAATATATTGTCTAAAATGTCCAGTTTTCAATAAAAAATTACAGAACCTGCAAAGAAATACGAAAGTGTGATCCACACATAGGATAAAAAGCAGGCATCAGAATCTGCCTTTAAAAGGGCATAAATGTTGGGCTGACGCTGTTGCTCACTCGGGTGAGTGCGGTGCTGGGAGCGTAGTGGTGCTGGGAACTCTGAGGCCGCAGGTTCAGATCCTATATAGGGATGGCCGGTGCGCTCACTGGCTGAGCGCAGTGCAGACGACACCAAGCCAAGGGTTACGATCCCCTTACCAGTCACGAAAAACAAAACAAAACAAAAAAGGGCATAAATGTTGAACCTAGCAGACAAAGCTTTCAAAACAGCTATTAAAAATACTTCCAGAGAAGTAAAGAAAACAATTCTTAAGTAAAGGAAGGTATCATGACACTGACTTATCAAATAGAAGGTATCAGTAAAAATTAGAAATTATAAAAAAGAACCGAAGGGAAATTCTGGAGTAAAAATATAATAACTGAAATGAAAACTTCACTAGAGTAGCTCAAGAGCAGATTTGAACTGGCAGAAGAAAGAATCAAGAAACTTGAAAATAAAGATTATTCATTGTGAAGACGACAGAAAAAAGAATGAAAAACAATTTAGAGCATAAAAAGACCTGTTGAACACCATCAAGCCTACCTAAATATGCTTGGGTAATGGAAGTACCAAAAGGAGAGGAGAGAGAGAAAGCAGAAAAACTACTCAAAAAAATAATGGCTAAAAACTTCTCAAATTCAATGAAAAAATGAATCTTCATATCCAGGAAATTCCATAAACTTAGGTAGGATAAATGCTGAGGGATCTAATTCAGACACAGTAAAAACGCTGAAAGATAAAGACAAAAAATCTTGACAGAAAAATGCTTTGCATGTATAAGGGCACCCCAATAACATTAACAGGCTCTAGAGTTACCTGTTTAATTTAAGCAAAGCTTCCTAGTGAACTTTGGGTGTTCTTGTATCTTGGGTTATAAAAAGTATATTTAGTGTACTGTACAAACTACATCAGAAATATGTATCTAAGGGCCAGCCCATGGCTCACTTGGGAGAGTGTGGTGCTGATGATACCAAGTCAAGGGTTAAGATCCCCTTACCGGTCATCTTTAAAAAAAAAAAAAAAAATTTGGGCCGGCCCGTGGCTCACTCGGGAGAGTGTGGTGCTGATGGCACCAGGGCTGTGGGTTCGGATCCCATGTAGGGATGGCTGGTTGGCTCACTGGGTGAGTGTGGTGCTGACAACACCAAGTCAAGGGTTAAGATCCCCTTACCGGTCATCTTAAAATAAATAAATAAATAAATAAATAATTTAAAAAAAAAAATATATATATATGTAAAAATTGTAGGGCCGGCCCGGTGGCGCACTGCTATAGTGCGCCGCTTGGGAAGCATGGCGGCGCTCCCGCCAGGGGTTCGGATCCCACATACAGACCGGTTTCCGCTCACTGGCTGAGCGAGGCGCGGGGGCAACACCGAGGGTTGCGATCCCATTGCCGGTCCCGGTCCGGTATGGGGGCAACACTGAGGGTTGCGATCCGTTGCCGGACACAAAAAAGGACAAAAAGGAAAAAAAAAAATTGTAGAAATAACATTCTTTTTGGTTAACTTTTTTTTGGATAAAAGATGACCGGTAAGGGGATCTTAACCCTTGACTTGGTGTTGTCAGAACCATGCTCTCCCAAGTGAGCTAACCGGCCATCCCTATATAGGGATCCGAACCCCTGGCCTTGGTGTCATAAGCACCACACTTTCCCAAGTGAGCCATGGGCCGGCCCCTTTTTTGGTTAACTCTGACTTAACAGAAGACTAAGTCATCCATAATTCAGTATTCCATGATAACTTAACAATAACATGTTGTATGCTGAGTAAATCTGGTTCTAAATATAGGTGTTCTAAGATGAAAGAACTCTTAAGAATTATCCAATTATAACAAACATCTGCTCTAAACCTAATAACCAGAGCTACTTTTGAAGACAATTAACAGAATATTAAAGTCAGAGAAGCATTTGTTATGGTTAACAAAGGGTTAAAAAAAAAGCTAGGTTCTTGCCACTGGAAAAGGAGGGAAAGACTAATTGATCTGTTTCCACTAAGCTCTCTGACCCCACTTTTTTCTGGTTTTCAGGGAAGCAGTGATACTCAGCATGTGATACTTTTTTTCACATGAAAATTTGTATCTAAGGATCTTATTGTGTACTAGGTTTGTTGTATAAAGTTCTGAACAGAACAAATATATTCCTGAACTGTGCTGAGACACACAGCTCCCAATCACTAGATATAAACTAACTTAAATTTTACATGGCTTTACAACTAGCAAATTGAGAGTTAAGCTTAAGATGCCCTGATAAATATATAATTTTCTCTTCCCAGCTGAAAGAGAAGATAATGGTAACACATACTCACTTAAATTCACTAATGAAGATTGTGAAGGAAGTGACTCCTGACCAGTCCAAGCCAGAAAACTGATCCAGAACCAAAGCTTGAGTACCAAGTTCAGGCTTTATTGCTGTCTTCAACAACAGGTGCTGTTTGGTCATTTCTTGAAGACTGACTTCAAGAATGGGGAGTGTGGGGTGTGTGCAGTTTATTTTGTTTATCTCTAGGCTAATTTTCTAAGTGATCTGTAAAACTGTTGTTAGAGAGAAGCTAAAGAGTCTTCTGTCCAGGTTTCATAGCTATTTGCCTTAAGAACTCATTTTAGCTTCTTATCAATTTCACATTTATCTCAGAAAACATCTTTGACTGCAAATTTAGGAATTAGGATGCAGTGTCCCATGTGTCCTCTGACCTAAAGATGCATGGTTGGTCTGAGAATAGGGCTGGTCTTAATGTTGACTACTAGTATTCCTACATGCAGCAGGTGTTATATGAGTACTGATCTTTTTTTCTTAGGTAAAATACAAATACTTAATATTCTATAGGTAATAAATAAATTGACTGGATAATATACAATTTGTCACTTTTCACTTGTGAACTAAGCTTAACAGGCTAACAATGAAAGGAAGCACTAAAACATCAAATATTCATTGAAGTACTGTTTTCTCTAAGTTTGTTTTATGTAGCACTTTGGCTGAGTAGCTTAACAAAATGTTTATTTAGTAAATATCTATAAGGTATTGTGCTAGGTACTGGACATAAAAGGTAAGCAAAATAGCCACTCTGTATTCTCTCAGAGCTTATAATCTAGTCATACATCATAGACAAATAGTCACATAAAGACATGTAAAATCAGGGCCGGCCTGTGGCTCACTTGGGAGAGTGTGGTACTGATAACACCAAGGCCCTGGGTTCGGATCTCATATAGGGATGGCCGGTTAACTCACTGGGTGAGCGTGGTGCTGATGACACCAAGTGAAGGGTTAAGATCCCCTTACTGGGGCCGGCCCGGTGGCGCACTGCTACAGTGCGCCGCTTGGGAAGCGCGGCGGCGCTCCCGCTGAGGGTTTGGATCCCACATACGGACCGGCCGCTCACTGGCAGAGCAAGGTGCGGGAGCAACACCAAGGGTTGCGATCCGTTGCCGGTCACGAAAAAAGGGGAAAAAAAAAAAAAAAAGATCCCCTTACTGGTCATCTTTAAAAAAAAAAAAAAAAGACATGTAAAATCATGACTATAGTAAAGAGTTTTGAAGAAAAGAGAAAGAGCTACAAGCACATACAGTAGGTAACTGACTTGATCTGGAGTTCAGGGAAGGCCCCTCTGAGGAATTAATGTTTCTGCAGTGAAACTCCTGAAAGATGAGTAGGAATTAATAAGGTGAGGGAGGGAAAACAGCATGTGGGAAGGCCTTATGAGGTCCTTTGAGGCTCTTAAAAGGTCTGCAAGTTGTAAAGATAGCCCCAAACCAGAGGGTAGAAGGCCTTACTGGCCTCCTGAAGGATGTTTGTTTTTATCCCAAGAACAATGGGAAACCCTTGAAGAATTTTAAAAGGGGGAGGTGCGGGCCGACCCCGTGGCTCACTGGGGAGAGTGCGGTGCCTCGAGCACAGTGGGCACTCCCGCCGCGGGTTCGGGCTCGGTGCGGACGACACAAAGCCAAGGGTTGCGATCCCCTTACCGGTCACAAAAAAGGAAAAAAAAAAAAATAATAATAATAAAAATAAAAGAGGGAGGTGTGTGACAGGATCAAACTTACTTTTTTAGAAACTCATTTTATGGTTATCCTGTGGATGGGTAGGAGGGGCTATGGCACTAGCACAATCAAGAAATGATATATCCAAGTAGTTGAGGATAGCAGAAATTTTTTATAGTAGATTTTTTTCCATTTTATATTACATATAGAACATTTTCCTTTTTTTTTTGTCTTTTTCCGTGTCCGGCAACGGTTCGCAACCCTCAGTGTCGCCCCCGTACCGGACCGGGACCGGCAACGGGATCGCAACCCTCGGTGTTACTCCCGCGCCTCGCTCAGCCAGTGAGCGGGAACCGGTCTGTATGTGGGATCCGAACCCTCGGCGGGAGCGCCACCGCGCTTCCCAAGCGGCGCACTATAGCAGTGCGCCACCGGGCCGGCCCTAGAACATTTTCCTTTAAAAATGTTTTAAATTGGAGAAAATTCTGATTTGCTTGCTTTGTGCTTTTGAGTTGCAAAATTTTTTCCTATAAGCAAGAGTGATGCTTCCTGGCAACAAACAGCACCAGAAAAGCTTTTACTCCTTATAAAGAATGGGACCTAAAAAATTAGGTATTCAAATACTCAATAATGCTAAGATTTTTAATATGTGCGGATGTGTCTACCTCAACAGATTTCCTTTATCTAAATTTAAAAGCTGTTCTTGGGCCGGCCCGGAGGCGCACTCGGTAGAGTGTGGCGCTTGGGAGTGCGGCGGCACTCCCGCTGAGGGTTCGGATCCCATATGGAGACCGGTCTGCTCACTGGTTGAGCGCGGTGTGGGTGCGACACCGAGGGTTGTGATCCTGTTACCGGTCACGAAAAAAGACAAAAAGGAAAAAAAAAAAAGCTGTTGTTATGTAGCTATTTTTCTTAACCTCTGGATTTGCCATTTTGGTGGAAAGTTTCAGTACAAAATTAAATGCTTGAACCTGACACCAAATTAAGCTGGCTGGCTTTAAGTAGATTGTTTCTTTTTTTTCAAAATTACCTGCTCACCCTAGAAAAAAATTCAAATATACTACAGATGTGTGACAAAACAAAGAGTACAAATACACTTCTTTCCCTTACCTTTTTGAGAGGCACAATATAGCATGCTGACGAGTGGGCTCTGGAACTAAACTGTTTGGATTCAAACTATGGCTTAGGTACTTATTAGCCATGGATGTGAAGAATTAATTTAAACCGGTTTTGTTTCCTTCTATGTAACTAGAGCTAAGTGACTTAGTGAATTAATGAATACATCTAATGTAATTAGTGTTTAGCTCAATAGTAAGTGCTCAATAAATACTATTAACCTTCATGTATGTGGATACACACTTATAGACATAAAATAAAGGAAACTGTATATATGTCGAAAAAAGTATTTTAAAACTCCATGTGGCTGTAAGAACAACAGACATCACACACTGAAGTTGTAAACTTTTGAGCTTCTTAGTTAATGGCAGAAACGATCTCCATTTTTGTAACACCAACATGTAGCACGGTATGTGGGATGTGAAGTTTGTTAGTAAATATTTGTTAAATGCTTTTGCTTTTTTTTTTTTTTTTTTTGGTGGCTGGCTGGTACAAAGGTTCCAAACCCATTACTTTGGTGTTACAAGGCTCCATCCACTCTAACCAGCTGAGGTAACCAGCCAGCCAGTAAATGTTTGTTAAATGAATAGTCTCATTAATCCAAGTATTACGTTGGTAGTCACATGACAAAAACCACATAGCTTCTTTGTTCTTCTCGTTTGACAACAGCCAATCCCAAGGAAGTTTGTGACATCTATGTACTTACTTGAAAAAAACCCTTTCCTTTACCCTGAATCAAGACAAGTATGTTGTCTTAATTATTGTACTTTTGTGTTAAAGCCTCTTTAGATAACTAAGCCAACATTTACATGTTAAATGCATCCTAAATGTTTTATATTATATTTTAGGTGGGAAGGATTCCCATTATCATTATATTTAGCTATCTCCTCACCAGAAACCAAACATTTAGTTGTTCATAGACCTAGCGTAAAGGTTGACTCTAAAGGTAAAACAGGGGAATGGGGTAAGTTTAAACAGGGTGCCTCTTTCTCTTCAGGTGGCTGCGTATTCCACTGAATAACATACACCAGAAATTGCCTCAACTAGGTTAACAAGAATCCAGGTCCTTTGTCTTTCTTTGACCACTGGAGCCAACTTCATTCAACACAGGTGTACACAAAGACTCTTTCTCCCATCACAATTTACTGCACTATGAAATTACCTATTTCAAGTAACAACACACAATGAAATGAAATATCAGTGCATTCTCAGCCCATGCTGCTTTATTGCTAAAAATATATATATACACAGGTGCAGAGTTTCCAACTTTTATAACAGTTCCTTTTTACATCAAAGAATAAAGTTTCTTCTTCAAAAATCCCAAAGATGCATAGATTAAAAAGCAAGCTGCCTTTTGTAATACTTCAAACACAGTCAGTGAAATTCTTTTAACATTATCTTATATAACAGTGGTGCAATGGAGAATATGCAGAACAGCAAGTAAACACAGTGAGCAACTCCTGTTCTTACAGGACAGTAAATAAAACTATATGTGAAGGGCACTCTAATACTAATATTTTTAATTACAGGAGATGGGTGGTTTTAAGGTAAGACTTCTGTTGTTTAAGGATTGATGGTTAATGCATTGCCAGAATACCTTTCTTGCTCCTGGGAGAAAAATATATTGCAACTGGTGGCATGGACTACTGCTATCACTGAGACAAAACCTTTTGAAAACTCAGTAACCATGAGATACCTATTCTCACTTTAAAGGTTTAGGAGGATGGGTTCCTAGAGAAATCTAGAAATGTCTGGTTTTCCAGTATTAACTATTGTAATATGCCTTAGTGGAATAACGGGAAGAGTTTAGAGAATCTCCATCCTTAAATCTATTGGTTAGCAGACCTATTATCAGTAAGTGACAAAGAGAAGGATATATGGGATTTGACATCTCATTTCTGATATTTGAGTGGAAACTAAACATCACAATGACAAAAAGTCTAATTCAATTCTGAACCACTGAAAAGTTGCCTTTCCACTTACTAAATTCCCAAAGGTATTTGTAGCAATGTTCCACAGCAAAGAATATGAAGTTAACATAGTTTAAAAATCAGAACATGAAACCTGGAAAGAGCCTAATGAAAATCAACTAGTCTAATACTGAATTCTCTTCTCTTTAGACATCTTTCAGACATCATGAATTCCACTTGTACATTATTTGTTATAATCACTTGTACTTATAAGGGTTATTTTAAAGTCAGGAATGTTCTCAAGGAAAAAAAAATTTTTTTGACCGGTAAGGGGATTGCAACCCTCGGCATGGTGTGGTTTGCACCACGCTCAGCCAGTGAGTGCACCGGACATCCCTATATAGGATCTGAACCCATGACCTGAGCACTCCCAGCGCTGCACTCTCCCAAGTGAGCCACGGGGCCAGCCCTCAAGGAAAATTTTAAACTACCACAATAAATTGATTTGCTTTTTCATCAAATAAAATAAATAACAAGGTTTTTCTTTCTTTTATTTTTTTTAAGTGGAAAAACTTTCTCCTGTTTACTTGGAATCAGAAGTTTTAGGGAAGAGAGCTGGCTGATTAGCTTGCTTGGTTAGAGCGTGGTGCTGATAACACCAAGGTCAAGGGTTCAATCCCTGTACTGGCCAGCCACCAAAAAAATAAAATAAAACAAAAACAAAGTTTTAGGCAAGAAATTGTGCAGTCTGACCAAACCATCAAAGACAAAATTCTGGCTATAAAAAAATAACAAGTATTTTAAGTGTAATAATAGTAACAAGAGAAATCAAACCACAGATGTATCAATATTTTCAGAACAACTACAAAATGGAAGTTTCCCTTGCTGCAGGGATCCTTTATGTCTGGTTGGTACCAGTACCATCCAGAACAG